ACCCCAAACCCACCCCCCGGCGTGCGCCTCGCAGGCGTAACACCCCCATGCCTCGACCCCGCCGCAGACGCAGGCCACGGCGCAGGCGGCTGCGACCCCGCACGACGACTAAACTTCTCCGACGCAGGGCTAGGCATTGGCATAGGTAGAGCGTGCAAGTGCGAGTAGGAGTGCGAGGCGGAGTGCGGCGAGGCTTGGTAGCTCCGCGGTCGTCGGCGTTCGGGGCTGCGGCTTTGGTAGCGCCCGCCGTCGTGCGAGAGTTCACGCTCGTGGAAGAGAGATGGACGGCGGCCTTCGACGCTGTCTTGCCGCGGGTACGGCGCGTGCGCGCCGTGTCGTTCCAGCTCGTCCGCATGTGCTGCGTGGCGCTCGAGTGAGGGACCATGACGCATCATATCGCCCGCACTCAACTCCGGCGCGCGAGCTTTGCGACCACGCGAGACGTCGCGGGCTGTGAGAGCAGCTGCGAGAGAAGGGGGAAGTGTATCGGTTGGTGTGGCGGGAGGGCGGCTTGGGCTCGGACTACGCGAGACTTCGCGGTGCATCATGTGGGTGAGATGGGGAAGGCGACCGCGTTCGCGCGACATGGAGACGCTTTGGTCGCGAGCCGAAGAGAACGAGGAGCCGGAGAGTGATGAGGCGATCCGCGCTGGAGAGGCAAACGCGCCGGTACGTGGAGAGGAAGTCGAGCGAACGGGCGAGAAAGAAAGCGCGGCAGAGGAAAGGAGGCCGCGTGACGGCGAAGGCGCGGGTTCTTCATCCGCATCCTCGTAAATCACATCCTGCACCGGCACCCGTGCGCGGGAGCGCGATCGGTCAAGCGCCACCGCAGACGAGGACGCCGGACTAGCGACACTCTGAAGGTCCGCCTCAAGAGCTGCGCTGTCCGCACCGGACACCGCTTGAGCCTCAGCGTCTAAGCGTGCCATCTCGCTCTCTGCGACTGATCCTTCCGCATCAGCTGTCCACGCCACAGCGTCTAGCTGCGCGGCTGTCCATCGAGCTGAAGAATTGAGCGCCAAACACCGCGCGATGAGTGGGCCTGCAGCGGGCGGAGGGTCGTATACGCCTGTCGAGTATGTAAGCACAGGTTTAGGGAATGACATTGAGCGAAAAAGCGAAGAATGGAAGAATGAGGCGTAGACGCCGGGCGACAGCGTCTAGCAGCGTGCGAAGAGTCTACTGAATGCAGGTGTGGCGCGTGACGCAGTGTGGCTCCCAGGCTAGCGTCTAGTGCGGGCGCCCAGACTGCGAACTGGGGCAGCGGGAGCATGTGGGCACCAGGGCACTGCGCAAATAGTACGGCGTAGAGGATGCGCGTACATGGTTCGCAGAGGGGTAATATGTTCACGAAGAAGAGAGAGAATGGGAGGGTGGAGGGGAAGGAAGAGATGGACACGTACCGCGAAGGATCTTGACAGTTAATCTCGGCTCGAATGAATCGGAGAAGGGCAGCCTTCCAGCGAGAAGGGCGTAGAGCATGACTCCCAAAGCCCAGATATCTTGCGGTGTGGCGGGGACATATGGTGCGCCGGGCGCAGGTGGATGCAGAAGTTCAGGCGCCGCGTATGGTAGACTTCCTGCGGGAAGCTCGTACACCGTTTCGACGCCCATACTATCCACAACAGGCGCGCTGCTTCTCTCCCTCGCCCCTCCCCAATGCCCTCCTGTGAAGCCAGAACCCATCCCTTGGTTCGTCGAACTCCTTTGCCTGCTCATCCCGCCAGCGCCGTCCTTCCTGGCCACCAAGACGCTCCTTTGTCTCCTCGGCGCCTGCTCTCCCTCCTTGATCTGACTCGCCAAGCCAAAATCGGCAATCCGTGCACTGCCTTGTGCATCCAACAACACATTCTCCAGCTTCAAGTCCCCATGAACGACTTTGGCCTCTTCGTGTAGGTACCGTACGCCAGAGACGACTTGCCGCCACAAGTGGCTCGCGAATGGCGTTGGTAAGCCAGGCGTGCCGTCCCTCCGTAAGATATCGAGGAGCGTTCCAGATGGACAGAGGGGCATGAAGAGGTATGTGGCGAGGGGCGTGTGATAGGTGTTAAACAGTGGCAGTATATGTTCGTGTAGCAAGCCTTCCCATAATGTGACTTCGGCATCTGCACGCGTACGCTCGAGCGGTGTAAGCGCAGAGCGAGCTACGATCTTCACAGCGACTTCGCCTTGTCCGTCTGAGTGAAGTGTGGAGCTCGGCATGGCGGCACGAACGACTCCACCACCGCCTCTCGCGATAACCCTTCCAAGCGTGTATCCGGATATCTCCAGACCTTCAGCATCGATAGGCGGGGGTGTGGCAGCTACAGGTGGCGGAGAGAAGAAGGATGACATGAACAGCGCTGCGGGGCTCTGTGTCACGTCCGCCGACGGTATCGCGCTCGGCCCAGGGCTAGAGAATGGAAATCCATTGAACGAGGCCTGTGGAGGAGTGGTAGGCGGTAAAGGCGAGAGCAACGCAGATGCCGCTGCGTCCGCGTCGAGCTCAGTATCCGGGTTGGGTGTGGCGTGCGGGAATGGGTGCGCGAGGAGCATTCAATCCTCCTTTGATATCGTGCAGTGTATTGTGTGGTATTCGATAGATGAGAAAGGTGTATCTGGTAGAGTAGTGGTATCAGGGCTGATCAGAGTGTATAAGTGGTGGTTGGTGGTGGCGGGAGACAAAGGTCAATTATCGACTCGGAGCGGAGCCGGCGCGGGGTCGCGGAGAAGCGTCAGCTGGCTGGTCTCGGGCGCCTGATTTATTTGAATAGGGGTTCGGGGCCACCCGCGTCGGCTTTGCGGTCCGATCAATTTCGCCACTCCGCCACTCCTTCGGACATTCGTGCAGCGTTCGAGTTGAATGAGGACCGCCGTCGCGCTCACCATTCGTTACGCGCAAATAGAACTCTATAGAAGCGCATAAAAGAGTATGTCTGGTGCGGTCGGGCTGGGCAAAGCTGGAGTAGCACGCACGTTCGCTGGAGAGAGGGCGCTGAAAGATGGAGTCAGACTCAGCGCGCAGGCAGGCGCTGAGGTGCGTCTCCTATATTTAACCCCTAAGGCGCCCATACTAGAGTGCACTTGGGTCAACACACTCACATGTCCATATCCACTGGGTCTCCCGCAGGCGATGGACGAAGGCCCGCATACGACGAAGCATGAGACACGAAAATACACTATTGGCGACTTCAACCAGTCGCTTCTAGCGCTACACTGTGGAGAAGGCGAACTTGGCACCTATTGAAAGAGGCTGTATCCGACTTTATTTTCTGCTTACTGTGCGAGCCCAGCGGGCTCGCCCCACACGACATGAGAGTAGGATGTGCGCCTCCTCGATGGCCGGGCCGGGGTTGCCGCGGGAGGATTCCTCCCATCAAATGTGTGGGGCGCAACCCGCCGAATGCGGCGACGCGAGGAGGCACTCTTCTGGGCCTTTTGGCAATAGCATACAGACACTCCAGTATGAGCAAATAGACAGTGGAAAGCGGCCTGGGGCACGGGGAGCGGTCTACATCAACGTAGCGCGTTGCCCGATCCCACCAGCTTCAGGCGGCACAGGCATCTCGCCAGTGCGCCCATCTACGAAAGCAGAGTATCTGCAGAACCGAGCATCAGAGTACGAACGGGAGGACCAATGCTTCCAGCGCTTACATCCTGGATAGGCGGGCGACCTCTTCCTTCGCGACACTGGGTCGGGCGTCCTTGAGCGCCGCGCGCAGATGAACGTCAGTGATCTCATGCTTGACGGGTTCGTGCGTGACGGCCTTCTTCGAGCCCGTGTCTGCGTCTCCCCTTCCGGATTGTGTTGCCGACAGCATGCGTTGGATCTACCAAACTCAATTAGCATCCACTCCTCGCTGAAGGAGATTAAGGCGCACCCTGCGCTGCAACTCCATCTCCTCCGCCTGACTCTTCACTCCCTGCTCCGCCTTCCCCTTCCCCTTCCGGCCCCCTCCACCAAATCTAACGAACTCCACCTTCTGCTCTCCGGAAGCATCACCACTCTTTTCAGCAAGACTCGCATGCGCGCCTATATCCGCATGCACGAGCGCCAGATGCGCGTTGTACACCAGCGCTTGAAGATCAGCGCCGGAGAAGCCTTCTGTTGCTTCGGCGAGCCACGTGAAGTCGACAAATGAATGCACGGGGACTTTCAGTGCATGGGCTTGGAGGATCTGTATCGGTGTGCGCGGTCAATGAGAGAGGCTGAGATGTATTCGGAGGGGAAATATGTACCTCTTTGCGCTCGGCGGCTGAGGGCATGTTGCACAGCAATGCCTTATCAAGACGTCCAGGCCGCAGTAGTGCAGAGTCAATGAGGTCCGGTCGGCTGTGAAATCAAGATCAGTACAGGATAGTGAAAATCATGAGATATTGCCACATACCTGGTCGCGGCTAGGACATATACACCATCCAAGCCTTCTGCACCATCCATGAGCGTCAACAGCTGGTTGACCACTCGGTCCGTCACTCCCGTACTATCGTGTCCTCTGTATCCATACATGAGCATAGGCGTTACAAGACGTCAAAATCTCGCGTGGTGCATACCTCTTGGGTGCGATAGAGTCGAACTCGTCGAAGAACAGCACGCAAGGCTTGGCCGCGCTAGCGCGTTCGAAAATGTCTCGAACCTGGTGCATCCATACATGAGCTCACAGTGGCCGTAGCAGAAAGGGATGTGTACGTACCGACTTCTCGCTCGCGCCGATGTACTTGTTCAACAGCTCAGGGCCCTTGACGCTGATAAAGTTCAACCCGCACTCCCGCGCTACAGCGCTCGCTAGCATCGTCTTGCCGCAACCTGGATATCCATACAAGAGCAAACTGCGATCGTATCAGACAGAGAGTCGCGGTACAATGTTGAAGTAAGTATGGCGCACCCTGAGCGCAAGCGAAGGGGCGACTGCTTGAAGATGGCTGCGTACTTCGTCGGCCACTCGAGCGTCTCGCGTAGGACGCGCCGGGTTTCGGTCAACCCTGCGAGCCCCCTCAGAGGATATGTTGGAGAGATGAAGAGGATGACATACCGCCGATGTCAGACCAAGCAACGGTCGACGTCTGCAGTGGTACATCGCGGAGCGCGCGCGGTACAAACCCGTCTTGCGCTTCCGCAAAGTCTCGCATACTGAGTATCGCCTAGCCACGTAGTCAGCATCCAAGCCACTGATGTATATTGCATCAAGCACGTACAGTATCAGGCGCATTAGAGTCCGCTGCCGCACGAGCCGCAGCGACATGCACGGCGCGTCCGACGAGATCGCGTAGATCCGTGGCGCTGTATCCCTCGGTCTGTGTTGCTATAGCGAGGGCATTCGGCGCTTGTGCGTCGTCGAGCGAAAGAGACTGGGCCGATGCGAGCCGTTGATTGAGTGCTTGATCAAGGATCTAGTAAAGGTTTGAACAAAGGTTGAGCGAGATAGATGAACGCAGCCATACCATCTTACGAGCTTCCTTTTCCGGCGCGCGTAAGGCCACTGTCTTCTTGAAGACATGTGCAGCACCAAGAGCAGGATGCAGAGACGTGTCGCCCTGGGCCGTACAGACCAATAGGACTCCAGATATCGGTTTCCGAACGAAAACCGAAAGGAAAGCCTCTGTGGCGTGGCGAGTCTGGAAGGAGTCTGCGTGCTGTGCGCAACATGTTTAGTTCTGGTTCTGTTGATCCGGGATATGATGACGCCGAACCTCTGCCTCAGCGCCCAGAATCACGTCCAAGTTATCCAGGATCAGTACTCCCGGGGCTCTCCATGCCACTGCGTCCCGCCAAGCTACGAAGAGTTCGCGCAGGGAGCGCGCGGGGCGCTCCTTGTACCGCGCCAGGTCAACGTAGCGAACATCTAGGAGGGTAATACGAATGAGGATAGTTGACGGCGCTTCAGAGAGCGGCACTCACACGTATGCACGCCATCGTCGTGTTGCATCCCACGAGCTACGGCGCGCGCGACCTCCGTCTTGCCTGACCCCGAACGGCCGGTGATGAGTAGAGCTGGTACTATGACAACGTTCAGTACATCATTTCAACAAGATGTCACGAAGGGGCTTACATCCCGAAGAGCGCCCGCTGCGCATGAGCATAAACGCGGCTCGGCAGTAGTCGGCGCTCGCTTTCAATACAGCGTCGACTCCAGCGAGAGAGTGAGTGGGGTTCTTGATGGCTCGTCTACGAGTGGAAGTCAGTATGATGAAGTATGGGACGGACAAGAATTCAATTACTGTATCAGTTCTGGAGGTGTCTCCAATGATAATGATCCAGGAAGGACGGATAGTCTTGCACATAATCAGCATCGAGCTCGTTATGAGTTGAATCTGAAACATACAGGACTCTGTCCCACTCGTTCGGTATCCCGTCCGAGCCGGCACTGGCAGCGCCACCCACAATAACGACCTGACCCTCGGGCACCTCAGCAAGCGGCAGGATAGGCATCGTGCGTTGCTCATCCTTCTCGACGCCGGCTTTTCCCTCGCCGGACGAAGAGGCGCGCCCAAGATCTAGAACTTTGGGCTCGGAGACCGGCGCTGATCCTGGCGTGTCCTCCGGATCAGGCGGCGCACGCAAAACACGTACAAGAGCATCATACGACCCTTGAGGTAGGGATGCTAGTAGTGAGGGGGAAACACAGGCGACAGGCTCTTCGCCGGCGTGCGGTAGGCGCGAAGTAAGTGTTGAGGGTAGTACGCGGAAAACGGTCGAAAGCACTGGTGATGGTTTATTTGATGCGGTATCCGATGATAGCTTTGAAGAGGAGGCCACGACCGTTTCGGATCCCTTCGCCTTGTCAGATGAACGCGTTAGTTTGGCATGCGCCTTGGGTGCGATTGAGAGCTCGGTGTCGGTCGTGAGCAAGAGTGCTTTTGCACTTGGAGGGTCAAGCGCGGCTGTTGGTGGGCTCAGTGGCGTAGAGCCATTATATGGAAGTACGCACTCGCTCGTAATCGGACGCGTGTGGTGCCGTGAACCCAGACATCGAGTTCCTGACCCAGGCTTGCAACGCGCACTTGGGACAGAAGTGTGGACTCGACATGTTCTGCGTGCAGTTCCTACATGCACGAGTCAGTTGGGAAGTTGATATGGGGCAAGTTCTACTTACAAGGATCTCCCAATCGTCAGCTGTAAGCGGCTCCGTGGTCACCATCCGAGCGTGAGGTAAGTCGTACGCTAGACCGACTTCAACCTATAGGCATATCGGCACCAGAGATAATAAGATGACAGCATGACGCGTGCTCACTACATCGCCTTGAGACAATCCCAGACCACTCGCGAACTGCGGGTCGATCTCAACCGTCTCCGTATCACCAGTACCCCCGGAGCTCGAACCAGAGAAGCGGGCCACAGATGACGCGGCCATCATCCCGGTCCATCCTACGTAGATGTCCTTCTTGGGTGTCTGGCCGACTTTTGAGAGCACTACGGCGACATGCTGAGGGCGCTGCGAACACATTCGGCGACTGTACGTTTGGAGGCGGGTGACAGCTAGCTCACTATATTGCGTTCCAGAAGAGGACCGTACAGCGAGATAGGTAGGTTGACTAGAGACGACCTAGTTGGTACAAAGTGTATGCGAGCATGTCTAGGCATGTTCGCTGTCGTCGTGTTCGTAGTCGGGGTGCAAGTTCAGTTGTGGCGCGAGCGACGCGCCTGGGGTAAATTCACGTGTGTCGTGTTTTGCCGAACTTGAAGAACTCGTACCGCGCTCTGTCGTATAGGTCTAGTTGTACGCATTCAGACCATACAGAGAGACTAAGGGTACGCATAGTGCGCACGCGCATCCAAGAACATGGCTACAACCTGAGGTATAGGTACAATAGGTACGCTGTAAGGGTGAACGTGCGAGGCAAGCAGTTGATCGGCCGTCAATGCCGAGGAATTAGGGGGGCTCGGCGCGCGGACCGAAGCCGAGCCCGAAAAGTTGACTCGCCACCGCCGATGCTCACGATCTCCGAGATTTCTCTCTTGACCACCATCTGCTTGCTCTACTATACCATATCTGTGCCATAGACGTTCACCTAGCAAGAGAATAGAGCTATGTCGATGCTAAGTAGGGTCATCTTGCTTCATGGACTGGAAAGTGCAGCCTGATGGAACAAGCGCCTAGACGCCGACTCGTTGAAGGACCGGTTACTCTTCGCCATACCTAAAAAAGGTGAGGTGTAGCTCGCGGCTATGCGTGCGATGCTCACCGCGACTTCAATCGTATGAGCCGTATACTAATACGTGCCCGAAGGCCGATTACACGAGAAGTGCCTCGAGCTGCTCGCAGGCGCCGACATTCAGTTTAGGCGCCACAACCGTCTGGACGTCGCGCTCGTCAAGAATCACCCCGACATTGCCCTGTCAGTTTTGCAACTCTGCATGTTCGCAAGATGCCATCCTGACTCTCGAATACAGCGTGTTCCTACCCGCATCAGATATTCCCTCCTTCGTCGGCAAGGGCAACGTCGACCTCGGCATTACCGGCCAGGATGTCATCCGCGAAGCACGGATGCAGGACTACGTCACAGAAGTGCAACCGCTCGGTTTTGGAAGGTGCAAGCTGCAGGTTCAGGTATGTACTGCGTTCTCTTTACTGTGGATCGACCTTCCTAACGTCAATGCGCCAGGTCCCCATAGCACCCGCAGCGCCTGAAGAACCCATCACTGCCGTAGAAAAGCTTGCTGGCAAGCGCATCGTCACATCTTTCGAAGTCCTCGCCGGCGAGTACTTCTCCGCTCTGGACGACAAACAGGGTACGAAGACTTCGATTGAATATGTCGGCGGTAGCGTGGAGGCCGCATGTAACCTCGGATTGGCGGACGGTATCGTTGATCTTGTCGAGAGCGGAGATACCATGCGCGCTGCGGGCTTGACGGACATTGCTACGCTCATGATATCGGAGGCGACCTTGATTAAGAGTGCCACGCCTAAGGTATGGGAGGATCTTTGACGTACAGCGCAGAAGCTGATGAAGCTGCAGAACCCCAGCCACACTCCGATAATCGAAAAGATCGCCGCCAGGATAAAGGGTGTCATCGCCGCTCGTGCATACGTCGCTTGCGAGTACAACATCCCGCGCTCGAAGCTTCCCCTTGTGCGTTCTGCTCACTGACCCTATGCTTATCGTCCACTCATGCCCCTACGTTCCGTCAGGCAAGCTCAGTGACGCCTGGCCGTCGCGCACCAACTATCAGCCCTCTCGAGGCCTTAAACGGCGAGGATTGGGTCGCCGTGAGCGTGATGGTTCTCAAAGCAGATGTGGCGAACGTCATGGATAGGCTTGTTGAGATCGGCGCGGAGGACATCTTGATCTTCAACCTGGATAACTGTCGCGTTTAGAGAGAGCAAGCGTCTTCGACCTCGTATATCTAGAGACTAGAAAAAGAGGCGACTGCTGTATATTAATGTATAGATGATTTCCCCTTCTGAACCGAGAGCCTGGGGTATGCTGCTACTAAAGGTGCAGCCCACTGCTTTTGGATCATCGTCACTGCCAGTACTGGGCGCTTTGACTTGCTTACACTGTCCCGTCGCATCACGGCCATTGCCGTCCGCCCGACGGGCTCAGTTAAGCTCGGAGTTCAAACTCTAAATAAACCAATACAGTTGGCCGCTGATGTGCGTATGAATTGCGGCGATGATCGAGGGCTTATCAGACGCTATATATTGGCTCGTACCGTGTCGTGAAGGGCTTCGGAAGCTTCGAAACACGCCCACGCGCGCGGGACGTCAGCTGAGGGGCAGGTACATATACCATGAGGGTCGTGAACACCGCGTCGCCTTGTTCACCCCACATTGAGGAGCTTGCTGGGTGTTGGCGAGGATGTGATGGACTCGGGTTCGAGCGAGGCAAACGCCGCCTACGTCGGTGCGGCCAGGTCACACTTGCACAAGACCGTCATGTCTGACACGCAGCACCTTCGCAGACGCGCTCGTAAAGCTCCAGTATACGAACCTTGGACTATATGCGTGAGCTCCTCCGACTCTTCGTCTGAGGGGACTCGCGTAGTGACTTCCGCATACCAGCTGGGAATATCTGCTGCATCTGGACCATGACTGGCAACTGGTACGAGGTGTATGGCCGTGGCGCTGGCCACTCACCACTTGGGTGCGTAGTCTAACTTAGATGTGAACGGCGCGTGCTGAGACAATCCTTGAATAGGCATATCTCGTCTGTAGAAACTCTATTCTTCTGTCTATCATCTTCTCTATCACCACCGTTGGCGACTTGCCGTGTACAAGCGTGCGTACAACCCCTCCATCGTCTGTGACCGCGAACCTGATCGAACACAGGTTTTCGTATACCTGAGCTACGTGAGTATTCAATGTACCACATCGCAACGACAATAGGCCTGATGGGCATGCATCGCCAGATCTTCCCGTTTCTGCTAGTTGTATCAGCGTCCTCTCTCCTCGCCATTCGCACGTGGGCCATTTTCCCAGCCTATCTCTATGCAACGTCTAATTCAGGAGCTCTGTACAGCGCCGCCATCTGGTCTCGAGCGCGCTGGGTCATTGGTACATGCGTCGCAGGACTATTGACGCTTCTCGGCGTTGCGGTCTTCTGTACGTTCTCGTCCGAAGAACTTGACAACGACGCGGCGTTTAAGCTCACTCTCAATACCAGCGATGGCGATAATGAAGGTCGAGAATGCGCCGATGAATCACAACGGCAGGTACACGTACGCCTGCGTGAAGCTGGGTCCGGATCATGCACTGGGCGTCAAGTTGTCAATCACCGCCAATCATGTCGTTAACTGGACAATGTTCACCCTCACTTTTACGGGTCTCTGGCGACATCGTAGAGCACGCGCTGTCGGGCTCATGCGTGTTCTGTGGGCGCAGGCACGTACTGGACCCTCATGTCAGGAAGAACCTAAAGTTGACCATCACTCGTAGAGCTTCGCGCTTCTCGCCTTGGCGATGGCGGTGGACATACCGTTGCTCTGTCTGACGTGGATGGAAGTCAATGGTGAGCTCGTATCAATCTAGTCGATGTGTGGTATACTTAACATTGCCTTGCAGGCGTCATCCTTAGTGTAAGTTTTCATCGTCAATTCGAGTCGTCCACGCTCACTCACTCAATGCTTTCATAGATGGGACTGGCAGTTGCAGGCCTCCTACTCGGCATGGGCACTACTCGTATGACCCGTAGTCTCTACAAGAGTGTGTCGCCCAAACCAAGCCACGCAGAAGAGAGCCGCAGCAGGTACGTCCCCCTTTGTCCATAGTACCCGGGACGATGCTCAACGGTGCTCCAGGACAACGACGGAGCAGGCGCTTTCTTCGGTGAACGACGTGGAGGATGTCGATGAGGACTGCCTAGAGCTTTCACGCATCGAGACACCTTGACCTTGCTGCAACCACGGCGTTCGCCAGGTCCGCAGTACACACCTGTACGCTCGACGCAGATCGCCGCTCCGAGATGCGCGCCTAGATGACATCGCGGACCTACGTGTATCAACGATCACACCCTATACACGACCCCATGCGTGGACGCACGCTAACTAAGCACGTAGTGGAACTATCGGTCGCAGGCAGTGCTGCATGGCATTCGGTCAATGGCGAAGGGAGTTGTCAGCTGCTGTTGCACCAGTTGGGGCATTGTCAGCGTATTGCAATTGAACGACGCTGATCGTCGTCAGCAATCAGCTCTCTCTCGCAGGACTATAGCGTCCGAAGAATATAGGCTAGAGCATCTGCACGAGCGACGGGCCGCAATGTCATCGTTGTTTTTCAACTCGCAGTCACCGTGTATACTAGTCTGGCGTATTCTTCGGGCTCTCCATCGTACTCCATAACTTAGTGAACGCCCGTGTATGCCGAGATGCCGCTTCCTGCGTTCGCCGCCACTCTAGCGACTCCGATCACGCTCCGGTCTTGATTCTGTAGATTCCGAGTCGGAAACTTCGACTCATCTTGTGCACAGACGAATGGCAACGGCACGTAGGCCCCGGAGGAATGAGAGAAAGAGATCCTGAGTATAAAGCCGAAAGTACGCGTCGGGGTGAGCTCGGGCATAGGGTTATTACTATTGTACTACTACTAGAAGTAGCAAACCTGCTCATAGGGCCAGTCTGCCGCGCAGCTGCGTACTACCGAAGTAAGGCTCCGGCCGCGTACTTATCGGGCTGTCATGATCTGTGGTCGGGACGCGTCGAAACTTGGACGCAACCATCATGACGCCGGTAGGCTATCATTCGAACAATCGTTGCTGCTCTCAAGTCTGCTCTCCCAATGCCCACCACGGGGGTCCGATCAAGTACATATCGGCACCATGATCCCCGCACATTCAACACGCAAGACGGAAGTTTACCGCTGATGCATATCTGCTTACGACTGGCCGTCATGTTAGGCCGGAGGCTTGATACCGCTTCTAGGGCTTCTAAACACACCCTAGCTGAGGGTAGATACATATACCGCGAGGTCGCGAACGTCGTCTCTGTCTTCTTCCCGCACTATCTGCGGTTCATTGGGCGCCGACGGTGATGTGATGGACGCAAAGAGTGGCGAGGCAAACGCCGAATACGTTGGTACGTGTTGGCCCTCATGCACGCGACCGTCTTCACTCATAGTAATACCCTCCGTTTGTACAGCTGCATTCCTGAAACTCCAATACGTAAACCTGGGGCTGTATGTGTGAGTAGCGCAGTTGCTCGAGTGAGAACGTGCTGGGCAACTGAACTTCACAGATGGGAGTACCTAACGCATCTGCACCATGACTGGCAGTTAGTACGCGGAGCATGGCCATGGCGCTGGCCATTGACGACATGGGTGCGTGACTAGTCCCAGGACCTGTCTTATGCGTACTGAGAATATTGGATAGGCGTACCTGACCTGTCGAAACTCGATTCTCTTGTCCACTATCCTCTCCATCATCACCTTCGGCGACCTTCCTTGCACTAGCGTACGTCGTCCTCCGTAATCGTCATCGCCAGCAAGCCTTATTGAGCGCAGGGTGTCGTGTATCTGAGCTATGTGAGGGTCTGGTACTACGAAGTTCGCCGTCGGAGGGCTAAACCCAGCGAATTTCCAGCTTGTTCCTTTCCCCCTAGTCCTATCGGCGTCGTATCTCCTGGCCGTTCGCACGTGAGTATTCCCAAAGCATGTTCCATCCATGGTATGTTCGCTTAGGATTCTGTCTGTATGCAGGATCGCCGTCTGGTCTCGAGCACTCTGGGCCACCGCTATCTGCGCCGTTAGTCTGTTGGCGCTGCTGAGTATTGCAGTATTCTGTACGTCCTTTCTTGGCTCAACATTCGAAGAGCGCACCGAGCTCATCACACCCTCAGCGATGGTGATTCTATGTTTGGATACAGTATCGCAGCCTTCGGGCACCCGGTACGCCTACGCCTGCGTCCGTCTCGGCTCCAATCACATTCTTGGCGTCAAACTGTCTGTCATAGCGATCCACGTCGTGAACGGGGTGATGTTCTCGCTTCTATTTGCGGGGCTTCGGCGACATCGTACGGTACGGCCTGTTGGACTATTGCGCGTAGTCTGGAAGCAGGTACGTTCCCTATGCTTGTGGTGGTATGCAAGATTGCTAACCTCGATCTGGCAGAGTCTCGCGCTTCTTGCGTTGGCAACCATCCTCGACATACCTATTCTCATCATGGCATGGATTAGAGTCAACGGTAGCGTTTCCATTCTCCCGCTAACATACACACTGGTCTAACCGTTGATCGCACAGGTGTCATCTTCAGTGCAAGTGTTGTCACCTTTGAGCACCATCCTTGCTAATGAAGACATATCAAGATGAGCCTTGCGATGGCCGCATTATTACTCGGGTTGGGCGCTACGCACATGACGCGCAACCTATACCAGAGCGGACAGAGTGAACCCAGCCCGAGGGAATTTTCAGACGGCAGGTACGCTTGTTTCGTCAACAGCAATCGACTATCGTGCTTGACTGACTCTACTCAGTTTGCGAGGAACTCAGGAGCTTTCGACGGTGGAAGTATGGAGGGAAGAATATTCAGAGTTTTCTCGAGCTCGGTTCCAAGAACCTCAAGTGCTTGCGAGCCAGGGCGACCGGGCAGCTCAGTGCTGAACGATTCTCGTGTAGTCGCTCGTTGTAAGTAACAGCCTTGCATACGCTTGTCGGCGGCGTCGGATCACAACGATGCATCGGCCCGAGCCTCGTTGTAACAAAGCACCTACATAAGTCCATAGCGCTTCTCTCGTCAGACTGCACTATACTTGAATGCACGTTTCATACTATGCTACGTCTCCGGCTATATACCCTGAATGGCTATGCTGGCGCTGAGATATAAGAGGGAAGGGCCTGAAAGAACTGGCAACAACGTGTATCGGGGAGCAGATCGGAACAGCCTCCGCAATCAATTGAGTCGGGGCATTGCAGGACGTCGCCCGCTTTCTCTTGTACTCGCCCTTCATGTCTATACTTATCACGATGGCTTCTTTCTGCGCGATGGGGCCAAGTCTGCTTGGTTCTCTGCCGCGAGCTGGCCAGACTTATGAGAGAAAGAATTGAAGGTCCACCGGTCATCTCCATCGCGGTAACAACAGGTTCAACAGACTGATCTCAGTGCTTGATTTGCTGCACAGCTGTGCACCGAGGCCGTTCCAGCGCCATCATCCATCATGCCCGTGCGCGGTGTTAAAAGTAGTGCAGCAAGCGCGCCTTGTGCGCTGGTGACCTTGTCTCCCTCCACCGTCTCGTTTTTTGCTTCGCACACCGCTAGTCGGTCCCTTCTCCCGTTCTTTCTTCTCTCAACGGCGGGCCCGCTTCTGCTTTTATCTTTCTTTTGGTTCTGGTTACTTTACGCCGGCCGTATAATCCGCTCTTTCACGACTCACGACCTAATCTCCACGCCTTACGATGTCGAACTTCGTCGAGGACATGGTCACCACGCCCGAACCCGCTGCAGTGGATGCCGCACTTCAGAAACCTCGTTTCGCCGACCCGTACATGTTCGAGCCTACACATGATGCGTCAGGCCAGTCTGGCAACATGTCCGATACAGCCAGCATGTCCAGCAGCGACAGCAGCGACTCTGGCGACTCGCAATTCACAATGGTCGCCCCACTGCCTTATACGAAAGAATTCGACCAGGGCGGGAATGCGCAGGAAGACGAGCCGACTAAGCCATCACCCTCTCCCGTTCAGCCGTCACCCGCCCCTTCCCTCACACAACCGCCGGTCAGCGCGTCCCAACTCTCAAGCAGAGATCTACGCGCGTCCCGTCTCCCGCGCGCACTGCACGGGCTCTTCGGCATCGACAGGCGCCTACCGCTATCTGCAACACTGCCGCCACCATCACCATTCCTGTCCCCAATTCCCGCGCCCAAGTCCGCTGCGCCTACACTGCGCGCCGATGATCTGCGGCAAAGTCGGCTTCCCGGGAAGCTCGACGGCGTGTTTGGGCTACTCCGAAAGAAGGAGACGTTGCAGGAGGAGGATGACGGAGTGAAGGGCGTGCATTGGAAGGAGACGCCGGAGATGCACATCATCGAGATGGGATCGGAAACGTCTACGCTTGCATCTGAACCATCCTCCCCGAACACACGCCGACAAAGTATCTTCATGCCTGGCGTGCAGAGCGCGTTCAGCCTCAGCCCATCGACTCCGGAGAGGAAGGAGAAGGATGAGGACTTGGTGACGTGGGGTGCGGAGGATATGGAGAATCCCCATACCTGGACAACGGTGGAGAAGTGGAAGATGACGCTGGTTGTGGGCTTCATGACGCTCAACGCGTGAGTGCTTCTTCGAATTCAGACTCGGCAAGGGTCGCATTGTTAGGCGTACGGGGAACGGGACGCTGAGAGACGTTCCACGCATCCTGATGCGATCTGAGATACGCTGTGTATCAAGGGTCCATCACTGTCCTGCTGTCTTTCAATAGTATGCTGTCCTGACAACTTCACATAGAACGTTCGCTTCATCCGCGCCTAGTGCGGCGGTGCCCATCATTGCCGCCGACTTCGGCGTCTCAATGACGGCCGCGGAGCTCACAACCAGCATATTCCTCGTCGGCTACATCTTCGGCCCTGCGTTCTGGGTGAGTGCCATCCTCCTCTGCAGCAAGGTCTTCATCTGACAAGCTTTGGCATAGGGACCCGGCTCTGAGGTCCTGGGTCGGCGCGGCGTCTTGATCCTGACGATGTTCCTGTTCTGTGTGGCGACTATTGGCCAGCCGCTGGCGCCCAACTTCGGCGTCTTTGTCGGCACCCGTCTCCTGGCCGGTTTCTTCGCCGTAGCTCCAGTGAGTCTCCATTGAGAAACATGGCGCATGGAGTTATATTCTGACACTCACCCGCTAGCTTGTGAACGGAGGCGGTGTTGTGGCCGACATATGGGATCCTGCTACGCGCGGACTGGCTACAACCGTTTTCAGCACCATGATTTTCTTCGGGCCTGTGCTAGGCGCTGTCATTGGTGGACTGTGCGTCCTCCGCTACGCATGTCTGCCTGTACTGATGCTGACGATGCATCTTTAGGATCATTCCTAGCTACCTGGGCTACCGCTGGGTGTTTTGGGTCATCGCGATCTTTGCCGGCTGCTCGACGCTCCTCGCCATCTTTGTGTTACCCGAGACGCACGCGCCGACACTTCAAGTGCAGAAGGTACGTGCCCTAATCCACGAGGCTCGTGCATACATTGACACAGAATATCCAGGCGCGCCGTCTGCGCAACCTCCTCCCAGCACAGTTCGGCAGCAAGTACGCGGCCACAGAACATGAGCACCTCACACCGCGTGCTCTCCTGGAGCGAACCCTCCTTCGTCCATTCACCATGCTCGTCCGCGAGCCCATCCTCCTGCTTGTGACGCTCTACGTCAGCCTGATCTACGGCTGCTTGTACGCGCTTTTTGAGGCCTTCCCGATCATCTTCACCATCACCCGCGACTTCACTGTCACCCAGACCGGGCTTATCTTCCTCTTCGTTGGATTCGGCGCTCTGCTCGCGACCATCGTCGACTTCTGGCAGCTGCGCGGACAAGACAAGCTGCTGGCTGAGTGGAAGGGCAACCCGCCGCCCGAGCGGAGGCTTCTCGGCGCAATGATCGCCGGACCCTGCTTTGTCGTCGCTATCTTTTGGCTGGGATGGTCGGGCCAGTTCGCTTCGGTGCCGTTCTGGGTTCCCGGGCTGAGCACGGTGCTCATCGGCTTCGCGGTGTCGCTGGTCTTCAACTCGTTCATGGTGAGTCTCGTTCTCTAGATATCAGAACTGCAACTAATGGCTGGCCGCAGGGATATCTCGTCGATACGTATCTCCAACACACAGCGTCGGCCTTCGCGGCGCTCACCATCATCCGTTCTCTCGTGGGCGCAGCGTTCCCGCTCTTCACGACGGAGGTACGTTTAGTGTGTCCTCTGCATACCGATACAGGGATACTGATGCCGTTCTCTCAGTTCTTTCTGGCTATCGGGATCGGCCCTGCTTGCAGCGTGATTGGTGCAGTCGGCATCTTACTGGCGCCTCTTCCCTTCGTCTTCTACCGGTATGGCTCGCGTGTACGTGCGCGTAGTCCATTTGCGCCTGGTCTAGTAAGCTCTATCTCGCAACATTCAAACCCATTGTATTCTGACATAAATCATGTAGGACCTCAAGCTTCAAGCTATGCGCGCGGCGCAAAAAGATATGGCTGGATCTGCGTAGATATTTTTGGGGTTACGTATTGGAACAATGACTTTGGTGGCTCTTGTGTGTGGTATACAGTATAGGTAGAAGATATTCCTCTAAACATGATGTCTCAGTCACGAAGAAACTGACAGCGATCATCGATCCTCAAAGCGCAATCCGAGCTGAATTATGCTATACAGCACCACTCTCAAGGAGCATCGTCACCACATTTCTATGCCCGCGTTCCGATGCCAGTAAAAGTGGGGTCTTGCCGCCAGTTGTACGTGCCTTGACGTCGGCACCGTGCCGAAGCAGGACTTCGACAAGTCTACTCCTGCCGCTCTCCGCCGCTACGTGCAACGCTGTCTCGTTCTCGTTCGCGAATCGTGTGTTCACATCGACTCCGAGGCGGATCAACACCTGCGCAGTGTCGACGTCGTCTGTCCCAGCGGCGGCGTATAGAACGACGGCTTTGGCCCTATCCGATGCATTGACAATTGCACCTCGGGCCAGAAGTAAGGAAGCGGCCTCCCGCTGATGAAACATGACGGCGCACGCAAGGGGAGTTGCGTCATCGTCTGCTAGAGCGTCGATGGCCGCGCCGTAGTCGATGAGGAGTGATATTATACGCAGATAACCATGAGTCGCCGCGCAATGAAGAGCAGTATGCCCAGATGCTGCGCGGGAGTCAATGTCCTCGCCTTTCTCGAGAAGCGCGAGTGCGAATGCGGCGTGGTCGTTCTCAGCGGCCCTGTGTAGCTCACTACGGCATGAAGTCTTCGTAACCCAAAGATTGGGAGGAAGTACGGTGAAAACATGTATGCGCTTGAGATCGCGAATCTGCGTCTGCCAGACTGGGCTGACTTCGCCTTTGGGTGCATTATCTATCTTCTCACACACCAATGGCGCCCTATTGCGGCAATCAGAAGGGCGATGGACTACGGAATGCAGATACGCTCACCTCGACCGAGGATACACGCCCCAATCGTCGAAATTGATGTGTGTTTGAAATGCTACGTCGACGTCATCTATGTATGAAGCTCTGTATGGGGCCGACGAGTGTTGCCACGGCACGTTGCTGTTAGCAAAGCACCTGCTGCATTGTTTACTGCCAAAGTTTGTCAGACATCTAGCACATGGCTAGCGGGTCACGGGTGGATAATTTGCTCACCAGACAATATCGCGTGAGGAGGGTACCTGATCATTGGTATTCATTGCAAAGCACCAAGGACACTCGATGCGTCTTCTCTTGGTATCACTCATCTGCTGTACGAGAACGTACATCTCCATTTGCTGGCCTGGAAGCATCCGGCCTTTCCAGCTCTCACGCGACACAGTGTCGCCTCTGGTACGATCCAGAAGCTCGTATCTGTATCTGTCTACGAACCAGCGACCTTTTGACTGAGAGAAAAGGTTGAGAAGTGTGGCGTGAAAGCTCTACATCACGTTTAGTTTCATCCTCTGCCCGCTAAGCCTGATTCACGGGATGAACGAACCTCGTAAGTCTCGCATAGCTCGAGTGGTAGAATCAGACGTCGCCCAAGCGCATCGAAGAGGACCATCGAGTTGGACGGGCAGTAGCCGACGGAACGCGATCTCGAGTAGCTATTGCGCGTCATACCATGCAGTAACAGGCACACTGCGGCGAGTAGTAGGGCAGTATGGACTGCCTGCGGGGTATCGTGCACCGTGCAGATCGCAACACACAACAGGGCTACGGCCACTGTTTTGCCGCTATCCATGCCTTCCAGAGTAGTGCCAAATTCACTCGTCACTTGAGCACTTTCGGGCTGGTTAGTGCGTTGGATGGATGGGTTGTCCGAGGTGGCTGGCGAAACTCGCACGTCGTGTGCTCCCGCGACAGCGAATTGCTCGAGAAGATGTGAGCATACGTCTGCCGTCCATACGTTGAAGTGCTGTGTCAGAGATTCGCGCAGAGTGTTGGCAGCGTCCCTGTGGTTACGATGAGACCATGTCGCTCAATTGTAGATGCTCGCACTGACGCATTCAAAACGGCTAGATACGCCGTGAGGCGCTGCGTGGCTACGGCCAGCTCCGCGCGGAATTCGTTTACTCGGCCGCGCTGAGAGAAGCGCCACTCAAGCTTGTACCACAGGCGTTTCATCCTGATAAGAGGCATGCCCTTCAAGGAATCGCGAGGATCCAATAAGGAGAATTTAGCCACGCGCTCGAGCACACGTTCCACAGCGACGGCGCATTCTGCTGCCTCGCGCACAATTTCGTCTTGTAGCCCGATGTCGGCAGTATATTCCGCGACGCGAGCTACAGAGGCCAGTACGACGTGAAGGGAGTTGAGCTCGGCAATGCAGGAGCGATACTCGGAGGTCGAGCCGCTAGATTCGCTCAAGGCGCGAGCGATGTCTAGAACAAAAGTCGCCAAGACTACAATATCCCCTACTGCATTGCAGGTGATAGGAAACATTGTAGCGAAGCGTGACAAAAGCCAGTAAGAAATGACGCGGCGCGTGATCGAACGCGCGACTCTTGAGTGCTATTGGTGGGGTGGCGTGAGGGGGCTTGAGATCGACACTCGTTGCGTGTCCTTGGCATATAGAGGGATTCGGGAACGGCCGTAACCGGTGCATACTCAACTTAGTTGTCGTACATATTAGGCTAGCAGTGAGATTGAGAGACAAAGAATTCGAAGTCCTTCGGTACACGTACCTGTCACGGGTGCTGTCTGGGCTGCTGTACATTGATGTCCGATACCCATCGGACCTTCAGAACGTATTGTTCTGGGAGCCCTATCATTGTGATCAACCCAATGACTTGGAAATACCCCGCGGACAGTGCATCGAGGACTGACGATAGTCCCTCGTCGTCATTGCAGATGAGTTGTACAGGCGCATATTGGCGCATATTAGCTTTCGACGAGCGGGGCTGGATATCCAAAGATAAGAAGCGACGCATGGCAGAGTCTGATTTGAGTACACGTATGAGCGTCCGTGTGTACGTGAGAAGCTTAAAGCAGTCTTGCAGGAACGCCGCAGAGCGTGGCTGATGGAAGAGTATTTGGACGTTCTTGCGATGCGTGGGCCTAAGAGAGCATCGAATACTGCACGTTCCTCTGGTACGAATCCGGATCCCACTGCCGTGTCCGCGTTATGTCCCAGTGGAGGCGTTTAGAGTTTATATCGTCAAGGGGGATGGTCTAATATGGGCTCTTCTGAGACGACGCATGACACGTGTGCGAGACAAGTTGACCTTCAGTATAGGAGCTTATAGGAGTGGCGCTCGCGTAGAATTGATCGATAACGATCTCATCCAAGGCGCTCATCAAAAATTCGATATCGATATATGTCTAGGCTGTCAGTCAGGAAATGTGTTGGTGATGGTTCAGTGCCACGGTAATCACGCCGCGTCCGCGCGTCGCGCGTCTCCCTCCCTCTGGCATGCGCGTCGAAGTCGGCCGCCAGAAGTCCGAGAATGTCCGAAACCCTCCGAAAGACGGTGCCTCCGCGCAGCACGCTGCCCGCAACTTGCTCTTCGCTCTCATCACGGTGACGGTACTACGTACCCTCCACCACAAAGTTATCTTCCAGTCGATATGCTGCTTGCGCGAGGCTACTTCATACCGCAGTCGTGCGCTGAGGCGCGCGCAAACATATGTTTCCGTATCAAGGACGACAACAAGGTTTTCATCAGCCTGCGCCACCCGAGTCTTCCGGGATCCGCGGCAGTCGACATCAGTATACCACACCATCGACACCACAGACTCTCAAACTATAAACGCAGTACTCGAGAGCGCAGCGCGCTTCGCCCACTTCTTGCGTTTTGACGTTGCTTCGAAGGAGGCACAGTGTGTAGTCGAGTTTTATCGGATTGTCGAAGATGAGGACGGGGACTGGGACGAACACTTGAGGCCACCGGGCGAAGCCTTCCGCAGACGCTGGGGGCGGCGCGACTATACTGGACGAGGGCGAGCTACGCGGCTTGCTTGTGGACACGGTAACCTTGGTCGTAGAGCAGTATCCCCCAGGAAAGGTAGTTTGAAGATTTGCCATCGCATGAGTCTAAGGCTGTTCGTCTGTTGTGACCTGTATCTTACCTATACTGCCCTGGTTTATCAAATGGGCATTGCTCGATTGCTGAGATGCACGTCGCTTAGCATGTAGATCTGATAGTCGGAAAATGTCATCAACGTCTGAGTTACCCAGAACCAGCGGATGAGGTTCGCCGCGCCGCGGACCGCGCTTCTTCGGCGTGTCGGTCCGAACGGCGCGCGGGCAGTGGTGGGCGCGTCTGCTCTTCACAGCGAACCTCCGTGTTGCCATGCATATACATCCTGATTCTGTGAATTGACGTGTAGCTTATCGTGGCACATGAGCCCATCTCTATAGCAAGGATACTTGCTTTGCATCGAAGCGTGCGGTGCGGGCGTGTCTACGCACACTAAATCCAAACTCTCAGCGTTGGGACTGCGCGATGGACTGGTCATGTACAGATGGACGGGTTTGACGGATGGGTCACGAAAAATGTCTACGACCACTGCAAGATCCGGGGAATGCTCCAGTACGTGACTACTTCACTGGAGAGACGGATATCCTGCTCATTATCATATTAGGACCTGGGTCTACCCGAGAACGAGCACACGCGTCCATCGGTATCATCACGCCTGGCGCGTCGCGAGGGAGTTCTAATCATTTAGTATTCCTGAGGCTCTGATAGAATATCCCTCTTGCGCGAAGAAGCCTTACGGATATATGTTACTTCATCCCTTCATGCACCCACCGTTGAAAGGCTCCAAGATGATTCATCGTTACAGCCCCGTTGTTATTGACGTCCCGTAACATTGTTTGCATGAGGAACAGTGGGTGGTACGGATGAACGCCTCAAACTGGTAGCCGAGATGCTCGCTTCCTGAAGCCGCAAGTGCAGCAGTTTCTCCCAGGGAGATAGACGCTGGCTACGTCTTCTGATAAGTGAGTAAGTAGCCTTTCTATCTTCCTACATCATGTGGGCTCACCAGACCTTACAGAACGAATTCTTTGCCCCGCTTTGCGCCTCGGGGCGTGTACTCGTCGTGGTCTTCGACGTGTCACCCTCGAAATGTATATAAGGACGCCGGCTCTGCGTCATCCCATCCCCAGCCTCCCACAGCCCTCTATTTCCATCGATAAATGCCTCCTCGTGGCGCTCGCGGCGGCCGCGGCGGTCCCGCCGGCGGTGGTGGCGCCAATCGCGGTGGTGCTCCTGCGGGTGGCGGAGATGCGCGCGGAGGTGGCCCTCCTCGCGGTGGTCCTCAGCGCGGCGGCGGTCCTCGAGGAGGTCCCCGTGGTGCTGCAGGCGGCGTTGCTCCCGGACCTCGGGGCATTGGCCCACGTGGTACTGCTCGAGGTGGCGCCGCGGGTCGCGGAGGCGGCGGCGGCGCAGCATCTACTGTAGCCAGCAGCGTCCGGTCTGTGGGCGTCAAGCGTCCGGGATATGGAAGCGCTGGGCGGCCTCTGACCATTACCACGAACCATTTTGCGACCGACATTCCAGAGTCGATCATCTATCATTACGACGGTGCGCGTCTTGCTCTCAGCTTTTGCACCTTGGCATTGGTACTAATGCATGATTCGGTGGTCTAGTTAGTGAGTCTGCCCTCGTGACAGTGCAATCGTCGTCGTACTAACTCGACATGCTCAGCGATATCGTCCGAGAAGACGCTACCCCCGGCACGTTGTTTTGAGATCATCAACATCCTCCAGACCAGCGTTGCACCGAATACGTTCAGCCCTCGCGGTGCCTACGACGGCAGGAAGAACTTATTCTCGACCGCTCGGTATGCATTCGGCGAGGACGATACAGCAACTGTAGGTGGTATACTGCTGTCGACAAGAAGTTTTGCTGACCATTCTGTGTAGTTTGAGGTTAATCCGAACCCGCAAGCGTCTTCAGACCCTACCACGACGACCGGCAGGCCGCCAAGGACCTACCATGTTACCCTCAAGATTGCCAATGAAATCAATACAGAGTGTGTAGTACATCTTCTCCCTCTTCTATAAAACTCATCCTCTGCGACGCCCAGGTCTCTCCACCGGTATCTTGAAGGAAAGCAGTCGATGGATAACACCATTTTGACAACGATCACGGTATGTTGACTCACAGCTACAGTCTTGTGCGGTACTGACCCTCATCTCCTAGGCATTGAACATTGCAATCCGCATGGCACCGTCCCTCATATATCCTTTTAACGTCCGATCCTTCTTCACTCCCGACGAGAGACGTGACATCGGCGCTGGCATCACCCTATGGAGAGGCTACTTCCAATCAATCCGGCCCGGTATCGGCAGGATGTACACTAATGTCGATATCTCCACCGGCGCGATGTATAAGGAAGGTCCTCTGCTCACGCTGTGTCTGGAGGTGCTTGGGCGTGGAATGCAGAACGTGAATGTCCTATCTCCTTCGCACGGGTTACCCGACCGGGAGCGCCTGCGTGTACAACGCTTCATCCAGAACGTGAAGATTATCACCAAGCATGGCAAACCTCATCCGTCCGGTCGTAACCCGCCACGCGTCGTGAGAAGACTCACTAAGGAAGGTGCTCGCCGCCTGTCATTCACGCCGGAGAACGGCGCCTCCATGACTGTGGCGCAATACTTCCAGGTTCGTCTCCCCATACTGACGATGTTCTCGTCGCTGAAGTCTCTGCAGGGAGTTCTGAATCGGCCATTACAGTACCCAGACATCGTTTGTGCGGAGGTGCGTGACCTTGTGCCTCACTTTGTCCAGGCGCTGATTTCGGGATCCCCGCAGCTTGCGACGGGCGCCATCATTCCGCTCGAGCTGTGTACTGTGATACCCGGCCAGATCATTCGCAAGGTATGGCACTTTTGCCATTCTATGTCTACTTGCTCACTCTATCGAACAGGAGTTGCCCCGGGAGACAACCAAGGATGTATTGGCTTTCTCGACGAAGAAACCTGCCGAACGTCTACAAAGTATCATGCAGGGTCTAGCGGTATTTCTCTTCAGTTCTGTTGTCCAGTACATCATACTCACCGTTCATCAGGTACTAGCATATGGGCAGTCAGAGTACGTCCGACAGTTCGGCATCAACGTCAGCAATGCACCACTATCAATGACGGCGCGCGTCATCCCGCCCCCGACTCTCAAGTACGGAACTGGCTCGAAGCAACCGACAATCGTATGTCCGAATCTGAGTGCTTCCGTCCTATAATACTCATTCCTACGCAGCAACCTCGCGATGGCGGATGGAATATGTAAGTTGCATATATGCTCGACGATGCTATGTATCTAAACATGTTCACAGGATCGACAAGAAGATGTACCAACCGACCACCAAGATCACTGAATGGGTTGTTGCTATCTTCGAACAGGCGCGCATCTTCAATCAGGGTCGCGTGCAGGATATGGTTGGTGGTCTTCGCCAGGCTGCAAATGCCGTCGGTACGTTCTTCCGTCCCGTGCACCGTCATAATGGCTGATTAGGTCCCCGAACGCCAGGAGTACGCATGGACCGGGATCCCGCTGTGATCAAATACCTATCCGGCCAAGGCAACATCGTGGCCGTAAGCAGATCGAGCATCATCCTGTATGCTTTCACTCATGTCGCCGTTTAGGAGCTCGTCGCGTTGGGTGGTGAATGTCGAAACAAGACTAAAGTCATTCCTTCGCTCTATATTGTCATCATCCCCGAGCATGGTAACAGCGATATCTACGGTGCAGTGAAGTACTTCGGCGATGTCAAGGTCCGTCATCCGTGGTCTTCCTGCAAGTCTGACATATCGTGCTGATGCTGTCCTTGCAAGATGGGTGTAGTTACGCAGTGCATGCGATCCGCGAAATGCATGAAGGCTAACCAGCAGTACTACGCCAATGTTCTCCTGAAGCTCAATGTCAAGCAGGGTGGTGTCAACTCCGTTCCCGATGCACGAAGCATCTCGTTCATCACCGATCCCGCAAACCCGACGATCGTATTCGGCGCTGATGCTATCCATCCCGCACCCGGTACTTCGGACCGGCCATCCTTCACGGCTTTGGTTGGAAGTGTTGACAGTAATGCGGCGAAGTACGTCGCGACCATGCGGGCGCAGGAGACTCGTAAGGAGATCATACAGGATCTGGAGTCCATGTTCACGGTTGGTGTTCCTACTCTGACAACTCCCTGTCGGATGTCTCATTGCCCGCTGTGTACAGGAAATCCTCGATCTGTATATGGGCTATCAGAGAGCAATCGAGAAGAAGGCTCAACCAGCGCCGAAGCGTGTGATCTTCTATCGCGACGGTGTATCTGAAGGCGAGTTCCAACAAGTCCTTGACGAAGGTCCGTCTTTACATCTTCACCCCGTCTATGCACTGCTGACGAGCCCCTCCAGAGCTCCCACAAATCAAGGCGGCTTGCGCGAAGAGGAAGATCAACCCACGGATAACCTTGATCGTCGTCGGCAAACGTCATCATACCCGCTTCTTCCCCGCAAATCCGAACGATGGTGACCGCCGCTCGGGCAACTGTCCCGCAGGTACAGTCGTGGACACCAACATCGTCAGCCCTGTCGAATTCGATTTCTTCATTCAATCGCATGGTGGTTTGCTCGGGACATCGCGCCCAGCACACTACAATGTTCTCTACAACGAGAACGACCAACTAAAGTATGTAGCCTCATTATCGTGCTTCTTGTCCGCCCATGTCTGACGAATGTCTCGCTCGCAGCGTCGACGGGCTACAATCCATCACGCATGCTCTCACGCACGTCTTCGCGCGCGCGACGCGATCCGTCTCCATTCCGGCGCCGGTTTACTATGCCGACATTGTCTGTGCCCGTGCCAAACTACACTACGACCCGAGTGCAGCACAACTTGAAGCCTCGACGGTAGACGAGACGAATGAAGGCTCGGTCGCGCAGCAGGCGCGAGCGGACGACTTCCGCGCTCGATTCCAACCCGTACACAAGAATATTTCGCAGCTGATGTACTTTTGTTGAATTGAATGTCGCCGCTCTTACCCAACCAATATCTGCACTGTGTCCTCATGCATGTTACAGTCGCTGTTCTTGCATTGTTCCGTCGTCTCCCGCACATGCCTTAATCTTTCTACCTCATCTGCAACCTTTCCCAGTATTGTCCTTTATGTGTACGACTTACGCACGACACGATAATATATATATACAATAACCCAATCGCTCCAAACACCATCGTCCAGGCGAGGTCAACTCTCGGCGCATCATCTCATTCTTGCGGCGACCGTCGGCCCGAAGGTCCAGTATGCCAGTGCAAGTACCTCCATCCTCCTCCCAATGCTGCTTTGCCTGCACCAGTTCACCAGAGCTCGGGTCGGCCCGTCAGAGGTGCCGAGCACGTCAATCTTTTCGCTATGTTACATATCAGTACACTGCCCTCTGGGCTAATTTGGTCTTGGTGAGGAGGCGCGAGGCGAGACATTTAAGCACAGGCTCCACCCACCCGGCGCTCTTCCATATCCTCAAGGGTGCGCTTCAGCCTTCGGGTAAGCACAGATGTACCGGCGCTCATGTTGACCTTACAGAGCCTCTGCATCCAGTGGTCAGCATCGTTGACCGACACAGTTGATTAAAGCGAATCAAACGTACAAACAGAAATGGCGGTGCGGAATCGGGGGGATCGTCGAGCTCGGACAGCCTCGGACCAGCTTGTGGTAGAGCTCTTTATGTCTATGGTACCCATCAGTAACCGGATATAAACTTCTCCGTATCGACTGCACGTTACCAAGCTACAAGATTTTGTGCTCCGGGTCGAGCTGAATATATAGGCTACGCAAACACGAACGACGCGGCGAGCTTGGAACGCGATATCCTCGGGGCCCTCATTCTCGTTCTCTACACTGTACACAGGAGCCCATGCCTTAGATGTGTGATGGGAACATGCAGGAATGGGACTCTTCGAGAGTTGAAGAAGAGGATACGGTGAGCGAGAACACCCCGGCGCCGACAACCAGGCATCATACCAATCGATCGCCATCCCATGTGACTTACCGTAGGATATATACCACCATATCCTACCATACAACTTGAGCAATGACGTCCTGTGCCCTCAATGGACGAACCAAGTATGTAGCCTCGTGAGCCAATAACAACCACGCAGATTATATCTCAGACAAGTCCATAGCGAGTGACAGCGTACGTATGATATCTCGCACACAAAATCGAACACAAGAAGCCGTGAAACAAAAACGAGGTATACAGTCGAAAGAGTCCATCAGCTCAAAGTCTACCCCGCAACCGCTCACAACGAAGCGCCCATGCTCCGACGGCGCGAGAACGCGTGCTAGGCGCTCAGAAGCCGGTCAGGCGCTTGACCAGACTCCTGAGGCTGCGCTTCTGGTTGAGCACGGTTGTGCCGGCGCTCGGATTGCTCTCGGTGACGTTGCGGAGCATCTGTGTCGGCAGCATGTTGGGTGTTGCACTCTGTGCCTCGCGGTCAGTATCGGGGATCATCGAGGCCAGCAGCAGATGAGACGTACGACTTGAAAGAGCGGCGCGACAGGTGTGCCGTCAAACTCGAACAGATGAAGCTTGGGTCCATCGGTCGAGTCCAAGAAGATCCTCCAGGACTGGAACATCTCCGTTTCGTTGTAGATCTATGTACGGAAATTGATCAGAGGCCCATCCAAACAAAGGTCGACGTAACGCAAGGCAATCGCACCTGGATGAAGTTGTCCTGTGGCCTGCAGGCAACCTGGACCTGCTGGAAGCCGTCACCCATGGGCGTGAGAATGATCGAGCCGTTGTTGAGCAGGTCGTAGTGTCCGTGTGCCCAAACGAGCGTGCCGGTGATACAGTCTGGATGGGAGCCTAAGATAACAATGTGAGCGCTACGGACTTCATATCGAGCAGATGGGCGGCGGATGAAGCGCGGCATGAGCGCATGGTCTGGCGGTCGCAATTCGCCGAGGTCTCGCACGATCGCGGGATATTCAAGGTTGTGTCTCCACCATGCGCAGTCCTGGCGGTGAATCTAGCATGTATACAGCTGGTATCTCCCTGGCGACGTAGACGACATCCGCGCACGCACGCTCGACCAGCCCATCCCAGTCGGTTATCCGCCAATAAACACGAGGAATATTCACCATTTGTAACGTAGCGGAACCTCGCAAGTTCGTAGTAGTAGTCCTCCGAGCTATATATTCAATCAGTTATATGCAATTATGCGGAATGCAGAGTACAACGTACAATGCGTATGAGACACCAGCGTTTGTCGGATATGTGAACGACATCTGGGCGGGGTTGGCGAATCCCAGTCCAGTTTGTGGCCGCAAGCCAGCGGTCACGTTCTTGCTGCCAGACGTCCAGGAGCCGATGATCGTCGTAGCATTGTGCTCGGAGTCGAACTGAATATCCTGCGCAAATACGGAGGATACTGCAAGCGCTACAGCCGCAACCGCCGATGTGAAGCCCCTCATTATTTCTGCTCTTTATTCGTCCAAATATGCGATAAGACGTCCGAGGGTGCCTGAGTAGGCGAAAGAGCAAGAAAGCGGGGAGAGAGGGAGGTAGAGGGAGACGGTGGTGGTGGTGGTGGGAAGAGGAAACTCGCAGAACACAGGCACCGCCGCGACGCGGCTCGAAGGGCCGAAGCGCGCGCGCGGCGCGGGCAGCTGTCACCGCATCTTGCGGCTTGACGTCGACGACGCCCACGACGGCCTCTTTTGCTTCACAATATTTCATCGTCTTCTTTATCCTTGCTCTGTTCGAGTGCCCTTAGGCCTTAGTTTTAGTTGTCAGCACTTGACATTGGGACTATTCGGCGAAAATGTTTCGCCTCTTTCTGAAAAATCGCCTGTCTATGTCATAGCTCACAGCCGCGCAATATTCCGTGCTCATGCTGCACATCCTGCAGTCTTAGCGGAGGGGGAGCTTCTCTGTACAGCAAGACTTGCCCCGTTGAGCACCAGGCGCTGTGATATTGCAATATCCACTCGATGCAGCCTCATGTCCGCGCCAATCATGCAGGCGAACCAGATGGCCAGTTGGCACACCGTTTACATGCGATATAGTAAGAAGCACTCCATACTGGTTACATAACTCCACTGCATTGTCTCTGCGGGTACTACCTAACTACTGCCCGAACCCAGACAACATGGTCCCAAATACCCACGCATACGGAGTAGCTCGACCGAACAACCCGCTCTATCGCAGCCGTACCACCGCCATTCACCAAGGTTACCGCGCTCGTCTATGGCGCGGAGATACTTCAAGAGTAGCCTCCATGCTCACTCCGCATATGCTTATAGATCTCATCCGCCGATTCTGAACTGATGCCCCAACAGCGCCAACAGATATGCACGCCACATCTGCGGCTGGTAAGCACCTTGACCGCAATAAACGCACACACGTCTGACACGCACCTGCAGGTAACATGGTTACAACCGGCCGTCTTCTCCAGCGGAAGCCTACATTGCGGGCATCGCTGTACGCGCCCTCCCTGGTCCGTCACCCACAGATCGACAAGCCGCTCCTGCTCTTCAGGATCGGTCCGCGCGAGATGCTCCGCGCAGGTATACCCCTCGTGGGCGCCCTGATTACAACCTGGACAGACGACGACCAGACAGTCAGGACATTTGGTGGGGACCGGCCGCGGTACGTCTTGCGATGCGACACGATAGACCTGCTGGCAGTTGGGCGTCTTGCAGTACCGCACCGTCAGAGGGTTCCGTGCGATGTATGTGCGGAAAACGGCCTGGAGAAGGCGCGAGTAGAGCTGTTTCGATAGAAAGCACTCTATGTGGTGGATGGGGATGGGGACGCCGCAACGAGCTTCATCGCCCATACAAGTCAACGGGAACTTGTCCGAGTCTATTGCACTCCGTAGGAAGTGGCGTAAGCAGGGAGTGCAGTACGTGTGCCCGCAAGCAAGTCGTACAGGCGCCTGTACGGCATCATAGCAGATGGGACAGACGTCTCGTGCGCCGGCAGGGATCCTGGGCTCTACGGGCGCAGCGTGCGTAAAGATAACGCGGAAGATAAGATGTCGTGTTTCGGCGCCACCTGAGGTGGTGAGCACGCAGGTTGCGGGATCGAAATGGACGTTCTCCTCCCCGAGATGCTCACAGAGTTCGGGCACTCCGCGCATCATGAAATCGCGCGCAGCCTCCCGCGGAACGCGCGCGACCTGCGTCTGACTGGGACCAGCAAGACGGGCAAGCTCATCCTGGACGATTGTGCGGCCTCGAGCGATTGCCTCGGGGCTCCCATAAACTCTGATCTGCTGTCGCTGCTGGTCCACGCATATGAACGCGCCGCTCTCTACAAGAGCTCGATTGACAAACGGTCCTTCGCGGTATTCAAGCTGAGCGAGCCGCGGATGCCATCCGCTAACCAGTTCACCAGAAGCCGCGAGCTCCTCCACCTTCACTTTCAACGGGCCGACGATGGCCGGATCACCGCCCGAAAGAGATATCTGTATGGTCGGTTCCCCAGGAAGTTCATTGGTGGACAACCTGCAATGATCCTGGCCGGCCTCCGATGCCGACTGATGCAGCTCGTTCCATGAGAAGCGCTGGGCGATATACTGTAGGATGGGGATGGTGATGGTGAATGAGAGAGGGAAGGAGTGCAAGACCCTACAGAGCGTGCCATGAGCGAGCTTTATACCAATCAGGTAGTCGTATACGCGCTTCGCTTGGTCCCAGGTACGAAAGCGGGCGCGAAGCTGGATGAACCCACGAAGCAGCTCGTCCGTGCTCTCGGTGCGATCAATGCTGATGATGTCCGCCTTATCTCGACAGCCAGTCGCAAACGCGGCGACTCGGATGACGTTGAAAGGGTTGACGTTCGCACAGACGACCCCGCTACGATGAAGATGTACGAGGTCGGCTCCGACGAGGTCCCTGATGTCGCTGTCTGTCGCAGAGACAGGGACACCGGTGATCCTGACCAAGGGAGCAAGCGGTGCTGACCCGGAAGTGAAGCGCAGCGGAACATACATAGCCGCCTTCAGGCGCCTCCCAAAGCATACCGAGCCATCGAGCTCTTGGGCCACCCTATGAGCTTCCTCAAGAGACGTCAAAGTCACTATATAGCCGACCGAAGGCTCGCGCCACGACACGGTCAGAACATCCGCGTCTTTGACGCTCAAGCGGGCCATCTTCCCCGGCACGGTATGATCATGTACCTCAAAAGACAGAGACCGATCTCTGAACTCGAGCATGTCAAGGCCGACCGAAAGCGCCGCACCGGCATCCGAATCCATGACCATCTCGACTTCGCGCGAGCCATCTTCGACCACTCTGTTCGTCTTGAGGTAAAGACGAGCCTTGTCGATGCCTTGTTGGGTGAACAGCGCGTAGATCTCACGCTCATGAGCGTCGAAAGGCAGTCCGCGAACGCGTACGACGCAGGACTCGAAGCCGGTGAGGAATCCCATGACGCTGAGGCCGGCGCCAAAAGTGATGATTGACCCAAAGGAGGAGCATTGCGTGGTCGACGCCGGCTGAGAACGCGCATCTTCCAGCTTCGCGTGCTCCTGCGCCTGGGTGATGCGCGAGCGCTTTTGCAACGCTCCATGGTAGTGCGCCAACTGTGTCGGGAGCGCCATGCCGTAATCTGGAGACTAATGGGCACAGGATAGATGACGATCGGGGGCAGGCTGGAGGTTGAAACGTTGAGGCCTGAGGAGGGAAGAAGTGCGAAACCACGAGCCCCGAAAGTCTGCGAGCTCCTCTGGGGATCCATTGTATATAATCCGACTAGCATAGCCTACGAGAGCTGCACAGCGAACAGGCAGGCTGCAACATGAAGATAGCGGGAGAGCGCTTCGAACACGACTGCGCGTTAAAGCGGGCGTCGTAGGACGACTAAAGCTGGAGATTAAGTAACGCCTTCTGACCAATCCTGTGTAAACCCAATGAAGGGGAGTGTGGTGATAGGTACCGAGTACGAGTACAGCGAGAGCGGGTACTCGAAGCATGCACTGCGTCGGGATCTTGACATTGTCGCTTGGACCCAACTGCGCATCCTAGAACACCGCCTGCACGGCGCCTTGTCTTTCTTATTCAATCGGGAGGGGCGTGCAAACAAAGAGTGAAGGATGGTCAGTTTGTACTCAAGAAAACATAAGAACACAAGGAGAAACTAAGAGTGGTATAGCTATGCCTCAAAACGCGTCCGTGTCCGCCAGCAGCCTCACGCTCCCCATCAAGCCATCTACAGCACAAGCGCGACAGCGCCCGCTACGAGCGCCGTCAAGCCCATAGCGCCCATGCCCATCCCGGCACCGGCAACGGCGCCGTTGCTGCTCCTCTTCCTCAAGAGCTTCTCGCTGACGCTGTCGACAAAGCTCCTCTTCTCGTTGAGCACCGTAGTACCGGAGCTGCTGGAGGAGTTGCGGAGCTTCTCGGTCGGGAGCATGTTGGGGGTGGTGGAGGTTTGGAAAAGAGGTGCGACGGGGGTGCCGTCGAACTCGAAGAGGTGGAGCTTAGGACCGTCAGTCGGGTCCATGAAGATACGCCAGGACTGGAAGAGCTCGGTGTAGTTGTAATCCTGAACACGGCAGCCATCAACATCTGAGAGGAAACGAGATAGCAACTGATGTACCTGGATGATGTTCGTGCCATCCGCGCATGCCGACTGGACTTGCTGGTATCCGTCGCCGAGCGGGGTAAGGACGATCGAGCCGTTGTTCAACAAGTCGTATTTTCCGTGCGCCCAAACGAGAGTGCCAGTTACGCAATCCGGTCGCGAACCTGACATGCGCATCAGCTGAGGGATCAAGAAGTCGCTTTTATGGAAAAGAATGCACCGTTTGCGACGAAGCGGTACCGCGAGAGTTCGTAGAAATAGTCCTCAGAGCTAAAAGGTATCAGGATCATTTATTGTGCAGACTGTGACGGTGGAACGTACAAGGCGTAGGCGACACCGGCAACAGCGGGATAGGTGAACGTCATTTGCGTCGGGTCCGCGAAGCCCTACAAAACAACAAACATCAGCACTCTTCATCCTCGTACGAGAAGCCCGCCATCCATGTCTCTTTCGTCTCTTCGTATGCTTCATAAAAAGACGTAGACATAGAGGCGTTGGGCGCTAAAGTATGACGCACTGAGCCCGTAGTAACGTTCTTGCTTCCACTTGCCCACGATCCAATGATGGTGGTTGCATTGTGCTCTGAGTCGAATTTAATATCCTGAGCGTTCGCCATAGCGGCGAGAACCGCGAGAGAGGCGGATGCGATGGCCAACATATTGTTTGGGTATAAGTGGGATATGGAGGGAGGACAAGAGTGCAGGTGTGGGAACGCAGTTGCGAAGGCGGATCAGGTCAGGAATATAGCTCTCTGGGTCGGGCTGAAGCCTCGGATAGGGTCGACCAGGTGTGATGAGCTCAGAAAGCGGCGACCAGCGACGAGAGACGGCGGAGGAGGTGATGAGGGCAGGAGGACAACAACGAGCGGGTGGAGCAACTGCGCGCGGGCGTGTACGTACGGCCACGTGGGTTGTTTTCCTCCGTGCGCGACCGCGTTTGACTGGAATGGGTTGCCTTTGACCACCCACCAGCTAGCCCCCCCGTATAAGTCCGGATGCTTGATCTATTGCGAGGTCGTCGAGATTACTGAGGACTTGATACGATAGCGACCCTCTTTTGCACACTGAAGCCGCATATCTCGCCGTCGGATCACAAGAAGAGGCGCTGTCGTTGTCGCGTTCTTGTATCGGCCCCATCTCTTCCCTGCGCTCCAAACCCAATAACGGGCGTCATGGGGCATGAGGCAGTGCAGGTCAACGTTAAACACTAAAGGTTGATCCTGCTTGGGGTATATACCGGGCCTACGCGACCTTCACGCCTTCGATCTTTCGCCCCGAGTGCTACCCCAAGACGATCTACCTCTCACGTCGGCTATACTCACGCTCCGTTGAAAGCCAACCCTTCCCTTGTATAAATACTTTAGATCGAGGGTTCAATGATCCCGGTCACTTGTAATGCAGTGGGCGATATTTTGACCCTTGCTACTCTCGTCCTTGACATCGCTCGCGCACTGGGCGAGTCCCGCGGTTCCGCTTCTGAATACCGTTCTTTCACTGCAGAACTTCACTCGTTGCACATTGTACTAGCCTCTGTCGCGCGTGTTGCAGAGCGCGCTACCGACCCCCTTCTACGCGACCAGATAATGGGCGAGGTCAACCGCTGCGGCTGCGATGTGCGCCGATCGCTCGAGAGGGTCGCCAAGTTCTCTATCCTCAGTCGTGAAGGCACTGAGGAGGACGTCATACGTCTGAAGCTGAAGCGGCAGTGGTACAAGCTTGAATGGCGCTTTGGGCATCGTGCTCATATGCAGTCAGTTCGCACAGAGCTGGTAGAGGCAACGCAGCGTCTGGCAGCATATCTCAGCATCTTAAACGTGTCAGTATCTTCCCTCACGTAATGAGACCGTCTACTAACCATTGTGTTGCAGTGACGCTATCGACGATCTTCGCACATCGCTGGTACACCATTTCAATGACTCAGTAGCGCGCCTTTGCACCTCTTTCCTGAAGGAGTATGCATTCACGACAGTGAGCAATACCTCAAGGTTTCCCACGGAAGGCACTGGTTCTACCGATAGCGTGAACGGCAGCATGGCTGCAGCCGCTGCAGTGCTCTGCGTCGCGATCTGTACTGCAAATGATGTCCCGCGTGCAGTCCATACCGCACTGCTACTGGCTGCGGTGTGTATTCTGGGACGCCGCGGGATGACGCACTCCGTTCCGTGCGCCATCACATATGCCCAGTCGAACTCCATAACTCTCCACGACGCTGTTGGTCGGCGGCTCGTGCTTCCACTTGAATTATGCGAAACATTCGATGTCAGTCCTTTCTCGAACCGTCCAGCCGAGTTCAATATCCTAATCGTTGCTCAGTTATTCCATGCTACAATCGTCAACCTCTTCTCCACTGACATGAAAGGACACTGGCTCATCGATTCAAAGAGCTATAGAATCTTTGACGCAAACGGCGACTACAACATGTCTCTAGACTGGCTTCCCGCTAGTGAAGGGAAGACCCATGTCAATCCGGGTGCGGAGTTGGAGATGGCAGTGGTTGTGCGGCGGATCAAGACTGAATGCAATCGGACCGCGTATTGTTGCCCATGTTGTTTCGCCACGGTAAATGGTCAACAGAATACCCGTACATCTATTTGGTGAGCACTTACGAAGCTATAATCATATGGTGGCGCTGATGGTATCATCTAGCTCGAGCTGCACCGCAGCACTCAGCAACCACACCATCTATCTACTTGATGGTCCTTATGGCGCCAGAAGGACGGACCAGTCGGATCTCATGAAGATCATCACCGACGACCGGGGCAGATTCCCGAACTCCAGGTAGTCCCTTGTTTTCATGAGCTTCCCACCTCTCTGACTTTCAGTTGTAGGTCGATGAGGATGATCCCTTCTATATGTTCTGGACCCCATGTGTTTCGTCGCGACTCTCGCTCGAATGCGGTGCCATCTTCTACTACGAGCACCTCAGATCATCCGAATCCTGACACGAGCAACGATATGGATGCTTTGGTGGCAGGAGTGCAGGATTTCAAGCGCATACACATCGTCAATTTCGCTTACTCTGCCTCCTCCTCACCTACAAACGCCGGTTTCTCCGGCATAGCTGGATCCCAGCTTCACATAGCTGCCGCAAACGGTCACTACGCTTTGGTTGAGACCATTCTTACTGCAGGAGGTATCGCCGTAGACGCACGCGACCAGGGAGGTCATACCGCTCTACATCTAGCCTCTTTCTCCGGCCACGCCTACATCATCAGCCTTCTTCTCGACTACGGCGCCTTCATCGATGCTTGTACAGCGCAGTACGATCTAACGCCGCTCTCCTGCGCATTGATCAACTACGAGCACGAAGCCGCGGCGCTTCTTCTCAGGCGAGGCGCTATCATAGATGCGCCGAAGTCCGCGAGAACTGTCGCGGCATACACTGCCGTGCGCGCCAATGAAGCCGGCCTTCTGCAGATGCTTCTACGGCTCGGCACGTATACGAATGCGCGCCTATTCGATGATCTGGAGACAATGACCCACGCAGCTGTGCGAGCTGAGAGCACGGAACTGCTCGAGATTCTTCTTCATCATAGCGTGGGCGTGAATGTGCGCTCAAAGCATGGCGAGCGGCCAATATGCCTCGCAGCACTGCACGGGCTGGAGGCACATTTCCACCTGCTCTTCGAACACCCGGGACGTCTGGAAGACGACTTCTCTCCTTCGGCGGCAAACGGAGGGCGCTCCTTATTGCATTATGCCGCTATGGGCGCAAGTGTCGATATCATGAAAACGCTGATCGACCACGGAGCCGGGATAGACGCGCGCTCGTTCTACGACGAAACTCCATTGTCGCTCACGCTGAGCTGTCACTTCGATCGGAGCAGCGCTGTAGAGCTACTCCTCTCGAGAGGTTCCAACGCGAATTTGAGCGCGAGTCCGATGGTACCCGGGGGACCGCTTGAGCCAGGGCGTTGGATGCCACTGCACATAGCGGCCCACACTGGCGCATACGGGTGTATCGAAGCGCTTCTACGGCACGGTGCGGACGTGAATGCCCTTACTGAAGCCGGTCATACACCACTGTCGTTGGCAAGAGGAAAGAAGCGCGAGGGGTATCGCTGGCCCTACGAAGATGTAATCGCGTTGCTCCTCTCATGGGGTGCCACACCAGAAACATAGAAGATGAATCATGTTGTTGCATCTGGCATACTTAGGAATGTGGCTTCTAGTTGACTGTAATGTTGCTCAAAGTTTTCGTGGTCCCGCGGGTGTTGCGCGCTGTCAGCAGAGGCCAAGTAAGTACAGCAAGTTGGCAGCTGTAGAGGTTGGGGTCGCAGCCCCACGGTGTAGCGTATCTGCTGCGGTTGAGTCTCAGGCGTTGTCCTCCGCATGGTCTCTTATAGGAGGTCAAATATCATCGCCGGAGGCATATATTATAGACCCAGAGGGATGTCATCGCATAAGCGCCGTTTGGGGTGGTGGCGGGCAGAAGCCGACAGTCTGGTTCAACGTAGCGTGCGGTGGGAACGGTTCGGATCATCGGCCCGACGCGGTCGAGGTTGTACGCGTCAATGACATCGCGCAAGGTTGATGTTGGCCATGACATACTCGCTGCCTTGCCTGTCTGCTGGAGCCATAGCTACTCCTACATCTCACTTTCCCTACCCCTACAGTCTGAGTCGGCATGCCTACACCAGCCGATAAACGCCTGGTTGGCTCTTTCACCGACGCACACGGTTTTGCCGAGACCTACGCCCACTCGTTGAATGACTTTCGCGACGCTTACACCGTACGCGCGCAGAGCGTTGGGCCTCTGACTGGCAAAGACAAAAAGGCCTTCGAAGATTTGACATACTGGATGATGTTTACGGAGGAGATGAAGGAGGTCGACCCCGACACTTATTCCACCGTACTGGATCTGCAGCTTGAGAAACTCATGTTGGACATCGTCGCACGAGATGACTTCTACGACGAACCCTTCGTACGCACAAACCGCTCATATCGCGATCTGATCATTGTCTTATTCTATCGTAGCAAATTGCCTCGTCCATCGTCCGTGGGCTCGTGCGCATGATCAACTGGGTATTCGCTCATCCCGCTCCAGGCAGGCGAGAGAACGCAGCGTCGGGGCGCATCATAGCTTCGATCGAGAAAGTGGGAGAGGCCATGTGGAAGAACAAGGACCGGCTACCGTATTCGTTTCAGTGTTACGAAGGTTACATTGACGAGGAGGACCCGGTAGTCTCGCTAGTGCTGTTGTTCACGCATTGTAAGTCATATAATGAGCACATACTTCAACTACTTTATCCTCATCTCGATCCTTTTCAGTCAGCGAGCGTGCAAATCCGCCGGTCATGCCAGAGGTTATACTCAAACTCGTCCTCAATATATGGCACAGGGTTCCCTACCGTCCCAACATGTTCGACACCGCATTCGAGTACCACTGGCGCCTGGTGGCATCGGATACTCCTATGGAGTTATGCTCCCCAGCATACGTGCGAGCAGCCGTCATAAACGGCATGGGCGCGGACGCCTTCATGCTCCGCCTCATCGAAGATCTGCACCGCTCGGACATATCGGACCGCTACGCCGCGGCATTGTTCGAGGCGTTCAGAATGATGGGAATGACCCCGCTCTTGAGGCCATACTTCATCAAGCACAAATGCCTGGACGCTGTTGCGCAAGCAATCGATATGCGCTGCGTTCCCGAGAACGGCGATAAGTTTCGCGCGATCATGTATCAGAACGCGCTCGTATTGATGCAGTGAGTATCATCCAACATATCCCGGCGGTTGGCCCATGGCTGAACCCGCGCGTACCATCTAGTCTTTGCTGTGTTGACTTGTCGCTGAATCGTGCGCTACGAAAGCCAGACGTGGCGGTACCTGGCCGATACATCGTCGACACACTGGTGCGCGGTGTGGCCATGTCCCCGCATCCCTTCTTCGAGCCCTGTGAGCCTCTACATCTCCTCCAGTCTTGGTGTATGGCCTGAAGATGCGACCGCAAGCCCTCCGTCGGTCACTACGAGCCACAATACACGTCTTCGCTCAAAGCGCCGACGACATAACCTCCGGGGAGGATAAACGCTCTCATGCCCGAACCTTCCTTGCCGAGATGAAAGCTCGCGCCCGCGAGATCTGGTGGCCGTCGCTCGCTCGGCTACAAGCCGCACATTACATTGCGTTGGGCAACACGAAAAGCATAGCCAGCGTTCCGACAGGAAGTGGAGAAGGAAACAAGAGGCTAGCGGGGCTCCTGAAGCAATGGGAGGCTTTTGGCGAGTCATGTGGTCTGGACGCTGAGAGGGAGAGGCGGCGCCATCGACGCGAAGGAAGGACGTTCTGCTCGTACCCTGCATGCCAATGGAGCATCGTCAAGCCACCGGAGAGCGTGACGTTGAAGCTATGTCAAGGATGTGGGGAGGCGCAGTATTGCGGACGGGACTGTCAGAAGAGGTACGTTCGCCCAGATCGCGAGCGAAAGCGAAGAGCGCTAATTATGTTGTAGTGATTGGGGTAAAGGAGGCCACAAGGAGAAGTGCGGCAACAGGATCAAAAGCGCTTAGCGCTGGTAGAACTCTCCTCTTGGATGCCAGATGACCTTTAAGATGTATTCCCGGGACGTTGTCGCTCAAGTGCAATGTATACATCGAGTGCCTGACTATTCCGACACACATCTTCCTTGTCACGCGTGATGTTTCAACAGCCAGCGTGATTTCCTGGGCAACATCTGCGCCAGTCCTGCTCAAGTCAGTATCGCTGAATGCACTCTCCGCCGTCCTCATATTCGCCGCCATGTTGTCCATGTCAACGTATCTCAGCAGCCCTTGTAGGGGCGGAGACTACGCGGCGCTATACGACAACTGCCTGAAACTGCAAGACGGGATAATTGCCGTGAACCCCACACGCCAATGTCTGCGTCCATCCCCGACATCAATCGGACTTGACTCAACACAACCACATCATACATAAACTGGCCTGTCGACCGCCTCCCACTTCACTTCCACATACTACCGACGTGCATGCACAAGCTGACACTGCGCTACATTACCCGTCTTGGGCGCCTGCGAATACCCACCGTCCCCCGATGCTCACTCAGCTCCAGGCAACGAGACCTGGTCTGAACGCGCGTTCACCATACGGGATGTGCATGAGCAAACTGCTTCAATGCGCTTAAATAGCTGCATTTGGGTGCACTCAAGACCAGTCATCCTCACTCTTTTTTTTTTCCCTCACTCAAGCTCTTGAAGTCTTCCATTCAATATGACCATTCGCATCGGTATCGTCGGTCTGTCCAAATCTGGCGGCTGGGCTGGCAATGGACTTGCGCCTCCTCTCTTCTCCGAGCCGCTCAAGTCTCAGTACACGTTAACGGCGCTCAGCACATCGTCGGAATCCTCCGCCACCGCGAGCGCGGAGCACTTCGGCAAGCTCGCGGGTTCTACCATACACGCGTATCACGGGTCTACGGAAGCGATTGCCCAGGATGAGACGCTAGATCTCGTCGTCGTTTCAGTCAAACCCCCTTCCCATCGCGAGACACTTCTCCCGCTACTCGAGAAGGGCCGTAACGTCTACATCGAGTGGCCTGCTGGCGATACCATCGCGGAGACGAAAGAGTTCGTCGCCAAGGCTCAAGAGAAGGGCGTGCGGACGATAGTTGGGCTACAGGGATGGCAGACGCCCGCTGTGAAGAGGATTCGCGAGATCATTGCGAGCGGCACGATTGGAGATATCATCAACGTTACCTGGGTATGCTCTTCCTTCAAAACATGCACTGAGCGCGGCAAGCTGACGCGTAGTTATAGATCGCTACCAAGACATCCCTCCCGCCGCTTTGGACGCCCTTCATCCAGACGTACGCCGCTTTCCTCGCAGACCCTGATCAAGGCGCCAACTTCACGAACGTATGGCTCGGTCACAACCTATCGTTGATCACGCGCGCACTTGGGCCGCTGTCGTCGCTCTCCGCGGTGGGGAGCGTCGGTGTGCCCATTATTAAGGTCGGCGAATCTCCGGAAGATCCCAACGCGAAGGACGTTGAGGCGAAGGTGCCCGATCAGTACTCCGTGAGCGGCGTTTTCGAATCCGGCGCGCTCTTCAGCGGCAGCTGGCGGACACTCCCTATCACCGCTACAAACACTGCACCGGTGCTGCTATGGTTGATCGAGGGTTCGAAGGGCCAGCTGCGCGTAGAGGTAGGCGCGGAACAACCGGGCGGCAGTTTCCCGCAAGTGTGGTTGCCTACGGCGTTGTTCGTGAATGGCGAGAAAATTGAGCTTCAAGAGGAGAACGAGCAGTTGGGCGGCAACACAGGTAGAGCTTGGGCGGAGTATGCGCGCGGCGAGGAGGGTCAGTATGCAACGCTCGAGGATGCTCTTCTCCTGAGGAAGCACGTTGAGGCGATCAAGAAGAGCATGGTCAAGGGAATCCGCGTCTCGGTCAATGACATGTAGAATTACGATACCTGTTAGTCTAAATCTCGTATGCTGGAGTCGTTTTCCCGAAGATTCACTGAAAGATGGTTCATATATGGATGTACTGGCAGATAGCAATGTATGATATACGTCCCGAGGATCGGTACAGATAGATCGATCTAATCGTTTCCAGCACTGGTTGTTCGAAAACGAGTATCTCATATGCACGCTATGAACGGCATTCGCGTAGAGGACATAGTGGTCACTGAGAGAGCACCGGCTCTTGACGCGCGCGCCAATCTTACCTCAACGAAGCCTGACGAAGCGCGGCGCGCGACTTTCGCACAGCCGATCCGAAGAAACCTCGACGTGGACTGGTCGCCATCGCTACAGCCCGGCGTACCAGTTCAAGTCCCAGTGCGCCTCACCTTCTACGTGCGAGACTCGACTTTGACCGGCATCATCTTAGATACAGCGATTATATCATCAGTATGGCCTCCGCTTCGCGCGTCACAGTCGCGCTTCAAGAACGCACATCGCTCTACAGCTCTCTGGCACGCCAGAAGCGCCCGGAAGCCCTCAACGAGTACCTCATGGACATTGAGCTTGAGCTGTGGGATATAGACACTGCCGTAGCGGTACTCCGGCGTCAGCGCAATGCACTCATCCCTATATCAAGCCTTCCCCCCGAACTTCTATCACTCATCTTTCGCCATTTGGCGGATATACAACCTCACTATGTCCAACACCATTTGGAATATGATGCGATACTCTCCAAAGAATACGAACGTGATCTTCGCTGGATCAAGGTCACGCAGGTTTGTCATGCCTGGCGTGAGGACGTCTTCGCCGACGGGCAGCTATGGATTGCAGCGACCACACTTTACGGAAAGGACTGGTTCGAGTGCATGATTCATCTCGGAAGATACCAACCGGAGCAAATGGACATCATTCATGGTCAATTCTTGTGGCCAAATCCCCCAACCTTACTATCAGCCTGTTCCGAGCCATTTCGCACTGTGTCCCGACTGCGCATCATTGGCCGGGAGCACGGCATATTCGAATCAGCGAGTCTTGCGTTACCCGACTTGAAGAGCCTGCATGTTCATCTGGACTCCACCGAACGGCCATACGAACTCTCGGACGCATTGTTTGAAGGCGCGCCTTCACAGTTACGCGATCTCTACCTTCATAATATGACCGTTCGTCTGGACGCGTCTTTCATCTCTTCACTCACACACCTATCACTCTCCATGTGGAGTAGAGGCCCGGGAAACAAGATCTACTACCAGGAACTTGTTGACGCCTTAAACTTACTCTCCTGCCTCAAAAGCTTCACTATGCAGAGTTACTCCTTCGAGTTCTTGGGTGACGATACGACCACTGTCGCAGATGCTAAGGATATTGTTTACCCCCAGCTGGCGTACGTCAATGTCTATGCGTCTGGACAGAGCGATCTCACTCTTCTCCTGATGAGCAAATTGCGTCCCGCGCCTGAAGCACGTATGGTATTTGCTACCATTCTGCCGGACTTCAACATGTCGCCCCATGGTCCCCTAATCCTCGAGAACTTACAACGATGCATGCTCGACTCGAACGTCTCACCCCTGCGCGGAATGCAGACAACCGAGTGGCGTGCGCGCGCACCGCGCGCTTGGCGCGACTTGCCTATCGGGGAAGGACCGGGCGCGCCATGTTTTGGACATTCTGCCATTCTATCTGCATGGCGCAACAATCGCTCCGATGTCCTCCTACGCGACTACGACGACTACTGTGATCGTCCACTCCCTCCTCCAAACTTCCAGCTCATACTTGGAGTGCGCACGGGCTCAAGACCCCTTCAACTTGACGGATTCATACCCTTTGCAGCCTTTCGTGACGCGCGATGCTTCTCCGTCCGGCCGGTACATCGGGCGTCTCTCGACGTATCCTTCGATAATGGTTGGAACGAGCTTTTCCGAGCCGCACCGACGTTGGCCTGGCTACGTGCGGACCGACAAGTGGGAGAAAACCTGGTCCTGAACGCCAATATCGCTCACCAATACTCCACGCACAAACGGTTGGATCCCTTCCCGGCGAACCTACGGACGTTAGCAATGCTAGGCATTCGCTGGGACTACGACTGGGGCGGAGTATCTGAGCTTCCGGTGCACCGCATTCTCAACGAAATAGGGAGTTTGACCAATATCGGCGAAGTGATAGTTGGTAATGATACCTACGAAGGGAGAGGCTTGCAGGTTGAATGGTCCAATGCCATCATGTCGGTCGTGAGACGGCCAGAGTGGTTCAATGATGATCATAGTGACTGGGATGGACTGGCGGACATGTAGACCCTTGACATACTTGGGAGCATGTAGAATACGTCATACCATACTCTTTTCGCAGTGCGATTCAGATGGTCGTAGCAGGGAGATAACGAGCGCTGATTGAGCAAATGCCACAACTAAACACCCTGATCATCGGTCTGAACCTAACAAGCCATCGACTACAGGCATCACGGTAAAGTGCGCATCAGTGAAATAAGTAGGGGGCAAGATATGACAACACGGCGCGGAGTCGTGTGGCGAGTGCGCGACGCGTCGAGCGCGGGTTCGGCCCGTCCCGCGCTTCGGCCGAACCATCATGAGCCTTCTGTCTCCTCTGGTCATTTGCAGTAGCCCATGATGCAAATCGCACCTCAGTAGACTGGTTGAGTAGTCTATGATGTCCCGTACCGAGATGGAGAGTACTAAGTTACGGGGACATTGGGGTGATCCCTTGCTAGCGGCCGCGAGCGGTGCCCACGGACGCGTACCTATGTCGCGATCGACCTTTGTAATGCACCGATATCCGTCTTGAACGGTTTGCCTCCATCCATATCCATCGCCCCAGCATCCGACATATAATCCCAAGAACGAGAAGTCGTGATATCATAACTCGAACATAGGTTCGTAAGTTAGAAGTATCCGATCAACACCTTAGACGCCCATCTCACGGCTATATACATATCAGAATGGCGCCCTTCCCACCCGAATCCTGGCCCCCCACCCTCGACGCCACCCAACTATCGCACCTAACAACCCTCGCCACGACCTACGCCCTCGCGCACTCCCTCCAATACCTCCCCCCGCACTCGCCCGCCTCCCCACCGCCCCCCTCGCCCGCCGCCGCGATCCACGCGCCCATCGCGCTCTTCCCGGCGCCGATCCCGCGCTCGGTGTTCGCCGATGCGAACAGGATACAGCGGGCGTATAGCACGCTCTATGCGCGCGTCGCGATGGACTGGGCGTTTTTGGACGGCGTTATGGGCGCGCTTGTGGATGTGGATTCGTTTACGGGCGCGTTGTGGAGGGCGTGGAGGGAGGTTAGGGAAGATAGCGTGCAGCCGTTACAGCTCGGCCTGTTCAGATCGGATTATCTGCTGCATCAGCCGAGCGCGGAGGATGCGGTGCAGTACAAGCAGGTCGAGTTCAACACCATCTCTTCATCCTTCGGCGCACTGTCGCAGCAGGTAGCCGGGCTGCATAGGTACGTCATGCCAGCTTTAGCGCCAGAGATAGACGCTCATGTATGGTGCAGACATCTGCTGGCTTCGACGGGGTACTTCGGTGCTTCACCATTGCTGAAGCAGGAGAACCTTCCGCCCAACGATACCGTGGCGGGCCTGGTGTCCGGTATGGTCGCTGCGCATAAGGCATACGGTGTGCCAGAGTACGTCGACCCCTTGTTTTACTTTTTCTCATGCTGACTATATGCATGTAGCGCGTACATCCTATTCGTCGTCCAACCCGACGAACGCAACATCTTCGACCAACGTCTACTCGAGTACGAGCTCCTCGAAAAGTACGCCCCTCCCTCTCCTTCTCCCCACCCTCTAACTAATGGTCCATAGACACGACATCCGCGTAATCCGCCAAACCCTCGCCCAACTCCAATCCTCCGCCACCCTCTCCCCCACGCGCACCCTCCTCATATCCTCGCCCACACTGCCCACCCCATCCTCCCGCGCCGAAATATCCCTCGTATACTTCCGCGCGGGATACACCCCCACGGACTACGCCTCCCCCTCCGCCTACGCCCTCCGCGGCCTCCTCGAGCGCTCAAAGGCGATCCAGTGTCCAAGTCTAGCACTACAGCTGGCCGGCGGGAAGAAGGTGCAGGAGGTCCTCGCGCGCCCGGGCGTGCTGGAGCGGTTCTTGGGGGAGGGGGAGGGAGCGGGGGAGCTGAGGGGGACGTGGGTTGGGATGTGGAGCCTCGACGCGTCTACATCCTCCATACCGCCCCCAGTCGTACACGGCGTA